TGAAACTTGAAAATGACCCACAAATTTAGATTACTTTGCTCAAGTCCTCCTAATCACAATTTTTTGAACATCACTTGATCATCTTAGAGCTTTACAGTCAATTCTATTACTGATTTTACAAACACTGCTTTGATATATAGCAGCTCTAAATCCAAACTATTGCTTGATGCCAAACAAAGTGCAAACTGCTATTAAATTTGTTGGTGGATTATTTATGTGTTTGCTCCTTGCATATCAAGTAAGGCTATGCAAAAGGCATTAACAATGCAGCCCTCCACATGTTTACTCCAAGATCCAACTACGTTTAAATGTTTATTTATTGAGAAGAGAGCAAAGGCTTGCAGCCTTAGGAGATGACCCTATGATGATTCCTGTAAGCCTCCAAACCTGAAGCTGAGAGTCATTCCAGGCAAGGCAGCAGCAGCAAAGGCAATCTTCATCTCCCCATTCTCCCACCCTGCACTTTCTGCTAGACAGGCTTTTTTGCCCATCTACATGGAATGTCTTGGAGGAAAAGGAAAGGAACTGGAGAAGCTGCAGGATACCTTGCATCTAGGCCTCTCTTTCCTTCCCTCCCCCTTTTATTCCTCTGAGGCTGCATTCCCAATTTGGAGAGCAATGAGCACAGATCTGACAGTAATTGTGTGGGGATGCAGGAAAGATGTCAAAAGTTCCAATTCTTAGCTCTCAGGTTTCAGTTTGTTCCTGATCTTTGATCTGACCATATGAACTATCCTATGGCTCTTCAGATGCTTTTTAAGGATCACAGAATAAACATTTGACAAGTGCTTAACAACTTTCAATCACCTGTCTTGGGTTAAGTGAAGCATACACAGTAGACAAATGTATACACTATGAGCTTTCATTACTAAAAAGCAGGACCACCCAAAATAATGATGAGTTAGATGCCACAGCTTCACGTCGTCTAAATAATGCACTTAATGCCTGGCTATTGAAATCCTGGCAGTAAATCAGAGCATACCATTTTGTCATTCCAGAGTTAAAACTTTGTATGAATACCTAATGCATGACCTATCACACTGTGCTCAACATGTACAGAATTCTGTCCATCCTGATTTGCACTGGAAGTGATAGAATAAAGGCAAGTCACATTAGTATATAGTCACTAAATAATTTTTACTTAAGAGAGAGTCAGTGGGGTATACTGGTTAAGAATGTAACTAATGTGTAATAAACTTTTGTGAATTTAATTATGACAAATGCTCTGTCATATCAGACAAGTCAAGTGTAAATGCATGTTATATTGTTTCTTATTAGCAAGTACTAGAAATAGGCTAACTTCAGAACATTGTCCAAGATTCAAAGCCCTGCCTTCTGACCATCCATTACACCCATTCCTACTCCACAGCTCCTCATACTACATTGAAGACAATTCCTAGAACATCTGAAGCAGCTTATATAAAGCTGAGAGAGCTCAGAAACCCCCTCATGTACACAGATCTCAATATACAGCATTTTGAATCCTGGCCTATGATAATTCCTCATCATCACCATCATCATCTTCATTTATATCTAGTCTTTTTTCTTCTTGTGAAGACTTCAAGGCAGCTTGCATAGCTCCATTTTATCCTCATAATATTAGAAATATCAGTTCAATGCTTTAAAAAATTGAACAAGTGGGACCTCTAATAAAATGTTGCTGTGTTCCTTGTGCCTCATCCACAGTACTCCACAGAGTTCATCCTTCCATTCATCTCTGTCTTTCTTCCCACACTAAATCTGTGACCAATGTGCATGCTCAGATCTCAATGGCTGTTTTAACAGGTTTTGCTCCCTTGTTTTACCTTTAAAAGTTTATACTTTTGCAAATTTTGGGATTGCCTTAATAAACTGATAAGCATTTCTTATAGCAGAGTATGGTAACTAGAATCTAACTGCAATATTGATGGAAAAGGACCTTCCACCTTATAACTTCCTGCATGCCCTCCACCAAACTGCCTGGAGAGGGCCCAGCATCACTGTTAATGACCTCCAAGAATGTCTTCCAAGTCCTCTCTTCTACAATGCAGACACTCACACATCCTTTAAATCCTCTGTGGAGATTTGAGGATCACTGTGGAGATTTGGGGGTGCACAGGACACCAAAGAGGGGATACCAAAGTTCCATTCTGCCAAAAATATTCTTATGCTGGCAGAAGAATAAGTCTGGATTCAAGTCTATAACTTTAGATAATGCTTTTGGGATTGTATTGTTCATAAATCCAGTGATATTCAAATATGATGAGTACTTTTCTTGAAAAGCTGTCTAGTGCTCCAACATGTTACTATTTCATTTCCCTATATACTGATAAACTGACAATGATATTTATTAGCATCAATGAAGCACCAAGTGCCTGTTCTACCAACATGATAGTTTCCTTCTCAATCAAAGCAGCATACGTCTATAGACAAACATTTATTAATATTCTACTCTTAGTCAATAAAGGAGTTTCAAGGAAGCTCATAACATGAATTAAAATCAATATATAATCAAAACAAAATCAACAGGAGAGAAAAAGAAACTTTATCCTGAGGAATAACATACAATAACAAACAAAATCAACACAAATGGGCAAACCACCCACATAGCTTTCAGAGTATAGCACAACCTTGCTTTGTTAGCATATATTCACTTTGAGTGATGACAACTACCATTTTTCAATTCAGACACTGCACCAAGTCAAAGGTAGCATAAACCATTTGCAAAACTCCTCCAAACCAGGATTTTGGGTTCTAGATACCATGGATTGAACCCATGGTTTGCTGTGATAGCAGAATTTGCCCTTAACTACAGAGTAAGTGGCAAGGGCTATTGTTTTTTTGTTTTGAGTTATTTTGAAGGTTATAGCCAAACAATATGCCAGTTAAGCAAAGATTTCAATTAAGAACAAAACAGTATTCTTCAGTCACATTCATCTTCATCCACAGCACATGCTCTTTTGTGAAACAAAACTTAAGTGAATGATTCCTAAGATCCAGCAATATAGTCACTTCCACAAAAATCCCATGTTCTAGTAGCCGATTATTAATCAAGAAGTGACACTTCATCTCAACAACAACAATTTCATTTACAAAGATTGATATGTATTGCTTCTATCATGTAAACTGGTGGACTGGAGGGCTAAAATATATTGTTTCCTAATCTTCTTTTTAGTTCCTTGTATTAATATTTGTTCTTTTAAAAAATAACCACCAATTCTTTCAACAACTGAAAAGTACAACTCACTCAATTCAACAAGACATTTAGGCTGAAAAATAGCACACCAAGAGAGCTAATTTCAGTCCAACAATTAGAATAGCATACTGTCTTCAACATCTATTCAACACAACTATAATGCTTAAACATCTGCACCATGACAATAGTAGTTTTTAAATCAAGATATTCTAAGTTTACAGGATTTCTACATTTAAGATGTAGACACCCTCTATGTCTAAGAGCAGATCTGAAAAGCATCTTTTCTCAAAAGTGAAAAACACACATAAAAACACAAAAGAAGAAAGTATATTTTGTAATAAAAGCAGTTCTACCCACACGGTTGCACAGTGTAATTAAAGCTGGTGGGGGAGAGGAGGTAATTGTTTCATAAAACTGTCATTAACTAATGCTGTATCCAAATCTGTTAAGCTTGACTATGTTACAACAGTGCTTTGAAGTCTATGTCATTCAGAACTCTCCAGTAGCAGAGGCCTTTCACAAGTAAGGCATCAACATTTCCTAGCACTTTAGAATGACAAAAGTTATTCTCTACTTAAGAGAACTGAATTAGGGCTAAGTAGTATCTTAACTAGGCTTATTCTCTGCTTACACATGGGTCTGCATTACCCTGGGGGTGTAACTGCTGTATACTCAGCACTACATACGTAAATGAGATATAAGAGTTCAAAATGTCTATCTAGCAAAAACATATGCAACTTAAACAAAGCAGAATCAACAAACTAAACAAATCAAGCTGTAGTTTTCCGTTTAGTAACTTTCAACATTAAAACCAGAAGCATTTTTTCAGACGTCCCCAATATATAACGGTTGCAAAAAGTCCATGCACACATAAAGTCTGCTTTTTTTTGGAAAGGAGGCATCTAAATCTTGACCTTGTAAGAAGTTTAAAATTACTTTTTAATATTTTTATTTATTATCATGAACATTTTTAGCTATAACTTTAGATGAAATAATGACTTTTGTTGATTCTTTGTGACACTTCCTGCATCTAGTTTTATGAACAATTTTGTACAAAGGTCCCTTACAAACTTTTTCTTTTTTAAGTTCTGCATTTTTCCTTATTTACAATTTAAAAAATAGTTATTTCTGTGCTCCAAACTAACTGAATCACTCCTCCAACATAGAATAGGCACTTCCCAAATATATTACACAATGAAATTCCCCCAAAATGTTGCACTTTTTTGGGGGGGGGGCAAGGAAGCAGCTTTAAACATGAGTGTGTAATTAGAGATCACAGTGACGCATGTGTCGTCAGCAACAGAAAGGAGCTTCCACTCTTCTCTCTCTCCACTCTCTTCTCTCCCCAGTTCTCAAAAGCCCCTATCTTTCTGGACATAATACTGATGCTACAAAGAAATGGGGGGATATGGAAAATGAAAACATGCCCCACTTCTCGGGAATATTTAAGTACTGACATCCGCCATTTTCTGAGCAGAACAGGAAGACATGTTGGAACAAAAACACAAAAGAGAGCAGCCATTTCCCCTGTTACATCCCAATCCTTAGAGCAGCCAGCTATCTCTACTGTTTCAGAGAGAATAGAATCCCCTCAAGAAGTATTTAAAAATTCAGTTGACATTGGGGTGAGGAAAGAGACCAAGGAGGTGACAGGGCAGGATCCAGCAAGATCTTTTTTTCTAGATGCAGTTTATTACAACTCTTAATAAGGTTTACTTCTGGTAACATATAACACTTCCTGTATTACTGAGGAAAATAAAATACATGGACTCTTTGGGGCAAAGAGATAATAAACACCCTATCTCCCAAGAGCTATGTTTCTTACCGTATGTGAGGGATCCCAACTCCCCCTTGCAGAATCTTGTATAGTTTGCTTTCATATAATAGCTGGGGATGCCTGGCCTTCTGCGATTCTAACTTCACAGCCACTTCCTGCAGTGGAGAGGGGACATGGATCAAAGATCCTATTGAATAAAAGGACCATATCTTTCTGCTACAGAAAGGGTAGGGAACACCTTTTATATGATAATATCCTCAGAAATGACAGTCTTTGCAAACATTTTCCATACAGTGACAACGTATGTGTTAATATCGACTTCAAGGAAGCTGCCAAGCTACTAATACTAATCTATAATTTCCAGAAAGAACCTTTAAACACTTAAAAGATCCCTTTTTGCTCCCTGGACAAGATCAATGTGACTGCATGAAGGGAGCTTAGGTAGGTAAAGTCTTTCTATAGGAGATCACTTAAGAGTTCCATGCAAAATAATAAGAATGCTCTCTTTCCCACCTACCGCCAAGCAGCCAGCATGTTATTGACTTGAAGCAGTACTAATCTAAGTAAAACATTAAGATTTTATTTTAGAGGGGGGATGTTCAAAGCTTTTGATCAAGCACTGCAGTCTCATCACCGCAGTCACGAGAAAACACTCCCTTATCTTTCACCAAAAAAAGAAAAAATGGCACAACCTGCATTACGAAAATTCATGTGATTCGTCACAATGTTCACGATTTCTCTAAACTAAAAAAAACCACTTAATCACGCGAATACCTCCAATGGGAGTATTTATAATGCCTACGTCTCACATAAAAGAGAGAAACAGTGAAAGGAGGAACATAAATGGCCCTTAAAATGGGAACCATAAAGTGGGGCAAGTCTGCGACAGAGACGGAAAAAGCCCCCACTGTAGAGAGTAGCAGCTCTCTGGCGTTCTCCGGGACTAATGCTTGGCCGGACGAGGAGAGAAAGCAATGAAAGCGACCTCTATTTACTGATGCGCAGGCGAGTGCAGACGGACCGGGGCAAGCAAAGGCCGGGCGCCCGCCCGCCAGCCCTTACCTCCCCATTGGTGATATTGATGGCCAAGTATATGTCCCCGAAGGAGCCCGAGCCGATCTTCCGCACCAGCTTGTACTTGGCCCCGACGATGAACTCGGCCTTGGAGCCACTGCTGCTCGCCATGATGACAGAGGGGGTGGGGGAGGGGGGCTATTCACACGTTGAGGGCCCACCGACTTCTTCCTCAAGGAGCTCCTGCTCCGCCGCTGCCAGGAATTGGGCGACGAGGGGGAAAGGGGGAAGGGGAGACAACGCCGGTCCCTGCGGCTCCGCTCCCACCAGGCCTCTTTAGAAGCTGGATGTCCCACACGCGTCCAGGCGGTTCCTGTCCTCTCAGGTAAGGGAGCCTTCAGGGCTGGGAAGAGAGGGAAAAGTCCGAGCGGCTCCGGCCACCGCCAACTGGCGCTTCACTCGGCCAGCGCCGCCATCTTGTCTGCTTTTCTCTCGCTCTCTTCCCCTCCCTCTCTCGCTCTCTCCCTCCCTCCCCCCTCTCGCTCTCTCTCTCGCTGCTGATATCCAGGACACAAAATGCCTCCAGCCCTCGACCGACGCTTCTTCACCGCGCAGAGCACCCTGGGAAACAGGGGAGGAGAACACCTTCCTGCGCATGCGTTTCCCAGAGGGAGGAAAAGAGGACAAGCAGGAAATGTGCGTAATCTTAACGCCTTGGCAGGGCGAGGCAGGTTCAAAGCTTGCGCCTGCGCCAACGATAGCGGTTTTTTTTTTTTTTAAGCCGGCTAGCCCCGCCCTTGCTATAGACAACTGGAGTTACGCAGTTTCTATCGTTCGGAACACGCGGCTTGTCCAGAGGGCGGTTGCGGGAGCAAGAGGCAGAGGAAGTTCGATGGCTCTGCAAAATGAAGTGGTTGTGCCAGTTATGTGGAACTCCCGTGCTGCCTGTTAATGTTTCATTGTGAAAGTAAGTCTTGCTTATGCCCAAGTGAAGTGGTCCAATCCAGAAAAGAAACAGCTGCTTCGCTCCACAGAAGAAGCAGGTTGAAATCTTCCGAAGGCTCCCTGTGAAATGTTTGGCTTTGTACAAACAAAGAAATCAACCCAGCCTTTTTCAGCCACTGCTCTTTATTAGATGCCTTTTCTCATTCCTCTCATGTTCTCCCCCCCCTCTGAAAAATGTATTTTAATAAACAACAAGCGGATCAAACGTGTTGAGTAAATTAAAAAACGTGCAACTTTGGAATGTCTTCCCCCTATTTCACGTCGAATTTCAGCCATAGTGTAGTTGCCAATTTGAACAGAGCAGTGGGGGCGGAAATTGGTGGAGCCATCACAGACAGTGGCAAGGGTGGGTGATGGTTTCTTTGCAAAACAAGACAACAACAACAACATGAAGATCAAACCAATGGGAAGGAATTAAACTACATCAGCTCCTGATCTGATGTGGGGAATGAGGGGTTTTAGGATTTTGGAGATCCAACATGTTTTGTCCTCTCATTACAGTAGACCATTCAGACACTGTCCCAGGGAAGCTTCCATTTGTAGACTGCATAATTAGAGACATCTTAGTTTTTCCTTTAAAATAATAGTGGTAGTGTTGGGGTATCATCCAGTGTGGTTGCCTGTAATCCTCTGAACTCGGGAGATTACAGGCATCCACTCCAAGGTGGGGGAAGCATAGAGCTAAGGATTGCTTCCAGACTTCACCAGGTCAAAAGACATTAATGGCCAGTATCAGCCATCTATGTCTTTTGCACTTACTGCTGGATCTTTCTTTCCTCCCTCCCTCCGCCGCCTCCTCCTCTGGTATCCTGCTAGATACTCCCTCCTCCCTCCCTTGCCAAGCAGCCCTTGTGACTTTGGAGCCACATCCAGAATGGAAAAACCACACCAACTGCAAGGGCATTTCTGAGGTTGGAGTTGGGACCCTATCCTGTTCTATGATCCTCGGGATAGCATCTCATAACCCAATTGAATCAAATTGTTTGGATTTAAATTGTTGTAAACTGCCATCCTATCCAAAGTAATTCATTAATTTATTAGATTTATATCCTGCTTTTTACTTATAATAAGCTCAAAGTGGCTCACATCATTCTCCTGCTCTCAGTCTTATTCCCACAGGAACAACCCTGTGAGGTAAGTTGGGCCGAGAGTCTGAGTGTCCCAAAGTCACCCAGTTGGCTCCATGGCTTAGTGAGGACTAGAATCAAGAACTCCTGTGTCCCAGTCCCATACTCTTAACCATTACACCACACTAACTCTCATGTAAAAAGTAGTGTAATGTTGTGGGGGCATTCCAATTAAGTGCAAGGGAATACCCACGCCAACTGATTCCTCTCCGGTAAACAGGCTCATTCAGTTGGGGCATCCTCAAATGTCATATCTCTCCAAGGGCCTTGTCTTTCAAACAATAAAGTGGCTTCCACCATGATTCTTTGCATGTCTGAATTAGGACTGAAAGCATCAACCAATTATTCAGTGTGGTAATTGAATGTGGATTACATAATTAAATATTAACAACATATTCCATGAGATCTAATATTCTTTTTAATTGCCTAATGAATGGATTGTTTTTTTACAAAATTAGGACAATTCACAGGTAGAGCACATGCAAAGCCATACCTTTAAACCAATGAAACACAACTAATTCCCAGTAACTTTTCATTTCTTTAGTATGTTCACATTTTACTTGACCATGATTAGGGGTAAAATAGCTGCATTGGTTCTAGGTATAAGCTAACATGGTAGACTGTATGAAATACTCATAGCATACTTTTTCCAGCTTGCATAATGTAAGTGCTTCAGACATAGGGTGCGAGCCAATTATAATTCCTGTAAGCCACTGAACTCAGAGGCCTACACACCTCCTATGCAGGATGGAGGAGTAGCAGAAGTGAGCTTGGCCTTTGCTATAGGGGCTTTTTTGCCCCTCTAGTGAAGGTATTTTGGAGGCTAGAGAGGCCTCTGGATAGCTGATATCGTGGTTTTCCAAATCTCTGCCCCCATCCCCGAGATCCTCTTTTTACCCCAATCAGAGGTTGCGTTCCCTGCCTTAGAGAGGCATCTGGTACAGTTCTTTTCACACAGGCTGCATGATGGAGAGGAAAGGAGAGGGAAGCTCCAATTCCTAGCATTGAGTTCAGAGCACTGTGAGCCTCAGATACAGTCTACAGGCCACAGGGCTGATCCCATAATTATTTTACCGTGAGAGAGAGAGAGAGAGAGAGACAGAGAGACAGAGAGACAGATTGAGAGAGAGAGTAGCTGCTGCCTTTAATTTGTGGTTGGAATTATCAGGACCTGAGTATATCCAATAAGTGAGAGCAGGCAGTTTTCAAACACCAGAAGTTAAAAATGGATATTCTTATGTTACAAGATACTCCTGTTTGGGTGGAAGATCAGAACAGACTTGGTAAAGCTTGAGTAGGGGAAATGTATGCTAGTAGAAACTTCTAACAAGCTAAACGAATGGCTATGTTAATACATAAATGCACCAATTTCAACGTTACAAGCAAGCTCTGATTCAGAATGGGGCTTTTTTATTTTGGTCCCACCTGTAATTTAAGTGGCTAGAAAACCATGGAATATCATTTCTCATCAGCTGCAGTTTGAGCCTTATTAACATGCTAAATTGAATTTATGGGAGATCCCTGATCTGAAAATAGAAAGATGGCCTTTTAGGTGGATGAATAGAGTTGTTAGTGGAATGTACACTTTAGGTCGATTAATAGACTAGGGTGAAAAGTTTTTACTACTTTCAGTATTACATAGATATCCCCTATCATGTAGCTCTGGGAAGGAATATATTCAATTACAGCACCAATTTTTTGCGCCCATCTATGCACCATCTGGAATGCTTAATTTGACACGTCTTATTCTGTTTGAGGAATCAATTGGTTCTTTACAGAAGGCTCTCTACAGCCCAATCAGTGGAAGTGTCTCTAGCCCCCTTCTGTACTATTTCTGTCAATCGGAATTTGAGGCTGATTGAATAAAAATTGATGTTTGGAGCATATTGGAATGGACACCACAAAGACTGGTTCGCCAGCTAGACAAAGATCCAAAAGAACTTACAGGAATGGTCTAAATTAAAAGTCTCATGGTTGAGAAGAATCTCTGTTATAAAAATGAATGTACTGTCTAAATTGAACATCTTATTTCAGATGTTACCAGTTTCAATATACGGAAACATCCTTCAAGGCTGGCAAAGACAATTGCATACTTTTATTTGGAATGGAAAAAACACAAGGATTAGATTTAAAGTTCTATGGAATGAAAAAAAGAGAGGAGGCCTCTCAGAACCGAATATTAAGTTATATTACTAAGTGGTGGGACTAGTTTGGATTACAGATTGGCTTTTTAACTTTGATAGACTTGTGAAATTGGAAACAGCAGATTCTGAAGAAGGAATACGCAATCAATTATGAACTAAATAATCTATCAAAAAACCTTTGACACCAAATAAGGTTCATGTACGAGGGGTAATTAGGGATGGTTTAATAAAAATTTCATAGAAGAAGAAGGATTTCTCCTTTAATGTCTCCAGTAGAAGCATATCATGGAAAATATTTAAGGAAAAATAATGATCTTGTAGTGTATGGAGACATGATTGATCATCAAGGCCAAATTAAGCTTTGGTGAGAATTAAAAGATGAAGGAAAAACATAGAGTGGCTCCTATACCATTAACTGGTGTCAAGATTAAAAAAGAAAATGGTGCAGCAAGTCCAAAACCTCTGAGGTGGGCCAGATAAATGGGCATGGTGGGCTGGATCCTGCCCGCGGGCCGTAGTTTGAGGGCCCATGCTCTAACAGCATCTCAGTCTCATTGGACTGAGATTCAGTTGGTTAGCCTTCATCCAGCCCATAGTCAATGGATTAGCACATCCAAAGCTGATGGAGAGGAAAAGGAGAAGAGAGCTGTATACCATCTGCTTATTGATGGCAATGCACCCCCAAACTCCTAACTCATCAGGGTATCTCATCCAAGTGTGTGCTTAGACCTGGTTGGCTACTATCAACTTGCCTAGAAAAGGTCCATTTTCTACCAGCCTAAAATTTTAAAGATCGGAGAGGTTCGGAGAGGATTTCCTCAGGAGCGGTTTCCCCACAGCCTCTTTCAGGTGGGATTGGACCACACCCTCTTGCAAAGGAGGAATCGCTCATCTCTGTGGCCCAGCCAGCTGTACCCTCCTTGTTGGCTTTGATAAGCCAGGAGGAACGAGAATCTATCATGCAACTGCTGTCCAAACATGTTGCTAACATGCTTGAACTGCACCAACCGAAACTCATCCAGTAAAACTGGACCACCCTGTGCTCTGGGAACCATGATCCAACTCCTACAAAGCAGGGGTCTAAGAGATTCATGCAAGAGATTTCCTGGAAGTGCCCAGGAAATATATCACAGCAGGCCTCAGATGGGTGTCAGATATCTTGGAGCCTGGATGTAAGAGACCCCAG